ACGGGTGTCGTTATCTGACAAGGAAAGATATGCAGACAGGTTCATGGTATCAATTTGTGGACGTACAGAAGGCAGCACGTCTCACATACCAGTTATTGATTGAGAATGAATCACTCCTGACGATTCTTGAAAATAAAGCAAGCATTTCAAATTATAGCCCATTAATTTTGCAGCTTTGTAAATTGGTGACATTAGCCATCAGTAGTTCGTGCAGTTAGGAAAGTGATTCCTGTCGGATGACGTCAAGAGAAACTGGTCACGATGCAATGGGTAACGGACAAGGCAGATCGGTGTCGTTCGGTAACGTGTAATGAAGCGTTTTTGAATGCACCCAATTGGAAAGAAACAAAGTCAAAGGCGAAATTACAATACGAATCTGTAGAAACGATTTACTGTAGATGCTGTGATACCGGCACTGCTCCAACAAGCAAGTGTTGCAGCACTGCATTGCATTATTGTATTGGAGATATAGTATGTCTGATCAATACAGAGTATGGAATATCAAAATATGCTGTGTTCCTAACAAGACAAACAGAACAGACATACCGAACTGAATCTGATCTTTCTGAACAGCTTCCACTTTCAGTACAGCCAGCACGAGCCATCGCTCACAGGCAAGTACTCTCAACATCAGCGATGTCAGTCCAGGCCTAGTCTAAGTAAAACTATGTAAAACTGTTCGAAACATTCAGGAAAAGTTTTGTATATCTGCTTTTATAGTGAAAATGTTCGGCTTCGCGTAGTATTGACATAGCAACAATTCACTGATACAACTTCGCAATTAACGACTAACACCAGTGCTCATTCTAGATTCCCATATTCGTCTGTTTCATGTGATTTGTCGCCTCAAGCACCCACATCTCATTTTCAGCGCATCGCCCAATTTGATCCTAGTTTTCCAATTGAACGCTTGCAGGCCCTTGGGAATCATCCCATCACTGCTGAAGTCCATCGGTCATCCGTAAGTCGTGCAATGTAGTCTGCCGTAATTTCATTCGAACTGTAC